GAAGGAAATAAAAAGTAGCACTAGAGGAAAAGACGTGCTTCCATCTAGTTATAAAAACCAGAATAGAATAGAATTAACGAGCAAACAATGAACCTCTTCTCGTGAACTGAAATTGCATCCAGGAAAGTCAGGCATTACGTGCAACTTTGCTTCGCCTTTTAACATCATGAAAACACCAGCAACCGAAACACATCTGCAATAGCACTCAGTAAGCAGCATAGTACTCGGAACTATAAATTCTGGATCTTACTTATTGCCATAATGCTTAGCAAGTCCTTTACGAATAGTCTCTGGAAAGTTGTCCTTCCCAGTTCGAACAGAAGCTTTGCAGTAAACTGAAAACGTAGACAGTAGCAATAAGAAAAAAAGCTTCTGCGAATTAGGTTAATACATATTCAATAAGTCTATAAGAAGATTTCATCCCATAAACTCAGTTGTAACACGAGCACAATACGATGTTATCATCCCTACCCCTAACCCTCAAACTAAGGCAGCTTAGATAGCATGGAAAGACTAGNCTTTGCAGTAAACTGAAAACGTAGACAGTAGCAATAAGAAAAAAAGCTTCTGCGAATTAGGTTAACACATATTCAATAAGTCTATAAGAAGATTTTATCCCACAAACTCAGTTGTAGCACGAGCACAATACGATGTTATCATCCCTACCCCTAACCCTCAAACTAAGGCAGCTTAGATAGCATGGAAAGACTAGCAGACACTTTAAATTACCCTTAGAACAAAGAGGAAACTTGTTGACGTATATGACCTATCAACCCCAACTTCCTAACAGCTTGAAGTCGAATTTTTAATGTCAACCACAATGACCGACAGCCGTCTTTGACCAGATGCGCGATGTTGTTAGGAATCATTCCAAATTTTCAAAAAACCTCTAGCTGTATAAAAAACTCGAAAATTTGATTAACACCTCCCAAAGTACTTTACCGCTAATTGTGGGTTGATGACCAAGACAGAAGAATAGTATAATAATTATAGAAAAGTGCGATTCACAAACCTACCTACTTCAGCTGGTCCCGGCTCGGCTGATACTGCAAGATTTGCCATTAAGCTGAATTTCGGTGAACTGATTACCTCCATTTTGTATTCAGTAGGAGTATGACCAGGAGGTAGAGAAGCAATTTTAGTTGCCACCTGAACAGCAAGGATGAAGTTCTCCATAGGAGCAGTCATCAGGAACATAGTAGTTGGCGATAGATGATAGGAAACAAGTGGAAATTGAGGAAAATGCATTGTATCATGTACAACGCTCAGTTTGGGATCAGCTAAATCCGATACCGCCTCGTAACTACTAGCACTTGTCTAAAAAACGAACTGTATAGATGACCCATCAGAACCCCATTCACGCTAATGTTTTAACCCGACCACGACTGCATTAGCGATTTCCAAGAAAAGTTTGGAGTAATTCCAAAAAAAGGTAAAACGCACACACTGACGATCAAAAAAACCTACAACCTCTTAGGCTGAGCATAAAGCATGGTGACTCGGTAAGCTAATCGACAAATTTATTGATAAACTAGCTTAATTACATGACAAATAGCGGTTATTACCTTAGATGAAGAGAAATTCGCATCAGCCACCATTTCACAGTTTCGTCCAACCACCTGCCAAGGTCCTGCACCTGGACCAAAAATAAATGATGATGGAGCTTCACAGCCATTACAAATCTCCTAAAAAAGAAGAGAAACTTAATGATCATTGTGGTGGCGATTCTCGGTGCCATCAAGGACGAGCAAAATGGTCTACATACCTTCAAATCGAAGTCTTTCTCTTTATGAATGACAGGGAAAAGATTTCCAGGGCCACCAACTTCAGCAATTACCATTTTACGTCCAAATCCGGTTGATGTCATGTTGAACGGCTCAGCGGTGAGATCTAGTGATGTAATTTTAGAGAATAGAACTTTCGAGTGGCTGACGGACCAAGTTTTGGGAAGCTAATTGAAACCACCGTGGGATGTACCCCCTACTAGAATTCCATTCAGAATGATAGTATTTATTTATTTATTAAAAAACATGAGCGTTTCAAATGTATAGGGTCTATACAATGAATTCAGTGGCAAATGTACAAGTTAATTTATCCATCCTCCCAGACGAGTCTAGTACCAATTGACCAACACCGGCTTAATGGAAGGCGTTGGTGGCCTGGGCACAAAAGGAAAAGGTCCCAAAATTCCAAATCAGAGTACAGAAGGATCAAAAACATACCTGGGCACTGGCACAGTTTTATTTCCACATTTTTGAAGTTTTCCTTCAGAGCGCCTTCAAATATAGCCGACAGTTCTTCATTTGAGGGCTTGAGAGTTTCAATAATAAAAGGCTTCATTGAGTAGGACGAAACCCTTCTGAAAAACATACGGTAGAGAAGCATGAAGATATTATTTAGTATGAAAACATACAATAAATATTATGATGTACACCACAAAAACAATACACGATATGGACACACCGCTTTACACTTCCAAGTACAGAACTGCATAGCCTATTTTCAAACGAGCAAGCCTTTTGCTCTGAAAAGAAAGTACACATTTTTCGGCTCTTCACTTAGTTGATGATAAGTTCTTTTCGGAATTCTGGATCAGTACTGAACAGGGTTGAAACCATACCGAAAAACGCGAACTCCTCAAGGTATACTCTTCGAGGAATGGTAAATACTTTCCGAAGTGATACAAATAAGCCAACATAAGCCTTACTGTAACGAAGCATGACTATAAAAACCACAAAAATAAAGGAAAACTACTATTAGAAACGGTTCATCTTAAAATACTGGCGTAAGATCGAAATTGTTTGCCGTAATGTGCAGGAATGTCATCAACTTGACGCCGAAGGTACGGTGGTTCGGTAACCAAGAACTGGAAAAACTCCTATCCTTGGTTTGAGAACTTATCTGATGGCATTCCAGCAGAGTGTGTAGAAATCTTCTCTTGGGTCACTTTCCCACATGGGAAACGCCAGAGTGTGAGCACTCCCGATCGGCATTCAGAAGGACTCCTACTTGTGGAAGCCGTCATTTCTGTCGCGGCTCCTACAAAGAGGATTCTTTCTCATACAACCGAAAGTAAGGGGAGAGGGAGATGGGGCGGAATCAAGAAAGGAATTGGGTGATGGTTTCCCTTTCTACACATCCTTCCATTCTTATTGGGGGGGGGGGGGG